GAAGTGGGCTGTAGTCCACGAAAGCTTATGCTCTAATAAATTTGTTAGTCTCTAAGGTGCCACAAGTCCTCCTGTTCTTCTTTCTGATGGAAGGAGCTCCCCAACTTTGGTAACATCGTGCTGCACACTTGGCCCCTCAGGGGCATGGAAACTCGATGTGCTTGGTGGTGGTTGCCACTTACATGTAGCTGTCGTCACATGTGGCCAGCTCACAGCAGGGAATCACCTGGCCCCTGGCCCGCAGGAGTCAGCGTCGGAAGGTTTCAAGGACTAAGACTGCAGTCACTAAGGTTTCTGGTAAGTAATTTTTCAGGGCATGATCAAAAGTGAGTTCTTTTGTTCTCTCTTCCATCCTATCATTTAAGAAGCTGGAACCCAACTTATTCAACCCATAGTGCCTGGGAGCCTTATTCAACCCTTGCCTGCACCGTGCCTGGAGTCTCGCCTTTCATTCGGCTGGGATCACCGGAACTCAGAATGTTTCTGGGGCTGTTGCAAATCCTCGTCTCCTTGCGCACATTGCCCTCCTTAGAGCAGAGCTTGGTAGCAGCTGCAAAAATGTACCCCAAGCAGACCCTGGGCACCCCAGACCTAAGCTGGGGGAGAATGACCTATCCCCCCACACTTTTGTCCACAGCCTAGCAGACCTGCCAGGGATGGGACAGGCAAAGGGCCTGAACTCCTCTCAGCAGCGGCAGTGGCTACTGACCTGGAACCACCAGTGGGTGAGGTGGAGGGAGCACTATTAATCAGGCATCGTTCACCAGCCAACACCATGCCAGTAACCAATTGCAGCTACAGCACATGGGTCTGTCCACGCAGTGACAGCTGTCCCTGTAGCTCAGGAGTAGATCACCTGCCTTGGAGTCGGGAGCCCTGACATCTAGGCTACAGCACCAAACTCCTGACCTCACAGATGGCCAACTCCAAACACACCCAGCCACGCAAACACACACCACACCGATTGCCTTCCAGAGAATTAGCCGCAAGAGCCAGTTTGGGCTGCACAGTACGTATATCCAGAGGTACATATGTCCAGGGTTCTTCAATACCCGGTAGAGTCTAGAACTGCCTCCTGTGGTCTTTGTGTGAAGGAAAGTGAAAGGATTAAGGAAGAGAGAGGTGTCTGGGATACATCAGGCAGTGTGTGCTATCACCTCGGGAAGCCTGTCCCCACTCGTCCCCTGAGGATGTGTCAGCTTGATTGGGGTGAGATCATTAATCGTCTGGAGGAGTGTCTGTTAGCCGGACAGGGGTTAGTTGGACAGGGTGCGCTGGGGGACCAGCTTCGAAAGGACTGGTGGTAGAGTGAGTGAAGTTGTGGCTGGTTGGTATAAATTACCTGGGCATGCAGTGAAGCGGGATAGGTGAAAGCAGGAGGAGGTAGAGCAGGTGCTAACTCCGCTGGGTACAGAGGGTACGGCGCCCACACTTCAGGGCTACTGGGATAAAGTGCAGGCACTGTGAGCTCATCTGCAAGAAAAGAATAAGGAGAGTTCATGGTTACAAAACAGCAATGTTCAAAACAACCAAACAAGAGAGCTCGCTTCACATCAATCAACTCCTCCGGCAACTGTTACCTAAGCTCAGAGGGAAAAGCCAAAAGACCAGGGGGAAAAACACTGCTCTGGAGGAGGGTCTCGGAGCCCCAGGGATCAGAGCAGGACTGTGTGCTAACGTGACAGGGCAGCGGTGGGAGAGTAGGTGACTGGGATGACGGTATGACAGCTGGCAGAAGAAACTCCCCCTCGAATGGACTTGTACTGCGTGGGGACCAGGGTTCCCGCAACGGGACCGTTTACCTGCCAGAACACTGAGCCCTTTCACAACTGACGGGAGGTGTTTCGCTGTCAGTGTCACTCCGAGGGGGAGCATTTCCCCTGGGTGGAGACTGTTACCCATAGTTACAGGCTGAGCCATCGACCTGGTTTGCAGGGCCAGGCAGGACCGTGCACCGTTTGGTGATGCAAGGCAGCAAGCAGTAAGAGAGACACACAGACTGACTGAGTGCTGACTCTGCCCGGGGCCTGTGTGACAAAGGCACTACAGTGATTGCAATGCACCGTAAGCCAGATCGTTCCTGTGCTGGGGCAGGGAGAGAGGGCCTGGGTCGTGGCCCCCTGCTCAGAGTCTGGGGCCACTGCACCCTCTACCACAGGCTGGGACACCACTTTGGCCTGCCCTAGGGTGCATCCACACTGGCCTTGCCCCTTCCTGCCCCAGGATGTCCCCCCACTCCACCTTGGGCCTCCTGCGGAGGTGGCATAGAAGTGGTTCTGTGCATGGTGTGCAGGCCCCTTGAGCCAGCCTGATGGGGAAAGGGGTGACAGAGCAATGATGGGTCTAGAAGAACTCAAACCATTACAAACACGGGCATTTGCAGAGGGGCCAAGCATGAGTTCTGTTGGCTAGTGGGAAAGGGAAGCTGATGGTGTCGCTTTGGGAGTTAGGACCATCAGCCTGGCTGTGGACACTGAGTGCCCAAACTATGTCCTGATTGTCTGGTCAGAGCCATTTACCAGCTGCCAAAGGTGCACAGCTGGGGCCCGACCACCAAGAGAAATCCTCTGTCCATTATGCCATATGGGAAACAAGGAGAGGCACAGAAGAAGGCAGATGGGGAACAAGGAGGAGGATGGCTAGGGGGAAATGGCAGCTAGTGGCCATCTGGCCATCTCCCTGTCTGTTTCTAGTATCCTCAATCAATGGGGTCTCTTCAGGCAACACTCTCAGTGGGAAGTGTCTACGGGGCACACGGTAGTGCAGCCAGGGAACAAAGGGCAGCAGAGCAGACCCAGATGGTTGGTAGTGCCGCCGTGGCAGAGTTACAAAGGGATCTCACTAAACTGGGTGACTGGGCAACAGAATGGCAGATGAAATTCAGTGCTGATAAAGGCAAAGTAATGTGCATTGGAAAAAAGAATCCCACTGAACATGCAAAATGATGGGGTCTAAATTAGCCGTTACCGCTCAAGAAAGAGATCTTGGCGTCATTGTGGATAGTTCTCTGAAAACATCTGTTCCATGTGCAGTGATAGTCAAATGTTAGGAGCCATTAGCAAAGGGATACATAATAAAACAGAAAATATAATAATGTGGCTGTATAAACCCATGGTATGCCCACACCTCAAATGCTATGTACAGTCCTGGTCACCCTGTGTCAAAAAAGATGTATTAGAATAGGACCAGCTACAGAGAAGGGCAACAAAAATGATTAAGGGTATGGAACAGCTTCCACATGAGAGATTAAAAAGCCTGGGACTCTTTAGTTTAGAAAAGGGGCGATAGGCTAGAGGTTTATAAAATCATGACTGGTGTGAAGAAAGTGATAAGGAAGTGTTATTTACTCCTGCTCATAACAGAAAAACCAGGAGTCACCCGCTGAACTTAACAGGCAGCAGATTTAAAACAAACATAAGGAATGCACAGTCAACTGTGGCACTCATTGCCAGGGGATGTTGTAAAGGCCAAAACTATAACAGGGTTCAGAAAAGAACTAGATAAGTAGATCCATTAATGGCTATTAGCCAGGATGGGAAGAGACACAACCCCATTCTCTGGATGGCCCTAAACCTCTGACTGTCAGAAGTTGGGACTAGACAACAGGAGACGGATCACTTGATAAGTGCCGTGGTCAGTTCCATTCCCTCTGGGGCACCTGGCACTGGCCAGTCAGAAGACAGGATACTGGGCTAGATGGACCATTGGTCTGACCCAGTATGGCCGTTCTTATGTTCCCGTGAGAACCCCACGGGTCTGGGTAAGGCATTTCAGTGTTTGTGGTCCCAGATTGGATTGCATTTATTTGTAAAAACACATTCATTTTTTTTCCGTATTTTTCCTTGTGGTTCTTCAGGTGCCCTCACTGTGCATTTCTTAACAAGTTCGGATTTCTTTTAGGTGTACTCTTAACTGTGAATTTTCTGGGTTTAACACACTTGGTTTGGGGGTATTTATAGAATCTCTAATTTTTTTACCCTTAAATTACTGATACATAATCTCAACGTAACTCCATTTTAAGGTTTGTTGTTGTTTTGTTAAATTTCCTTAGTTTGGCAAAAATTATTTAAAATGTCCTATGTGAATACTTACATGAGAGACCCAAAGAGCATGCTGCCGTCTGAAGCTACATAGACGCCCTTAAACCATAGTTGAAATGTTAACTTCTAAGGACAGCTTCCCCGGTACACCAGACCAGCACAAAGAAGCTGGAATGCACCAATCACTTAGGCTGAGTTTATAGCTGCTTTGCATCACTGAAGCAGACATGGCACACTGGTGAAGCCAGCCCTGATTTGCCACTGACCTATTGTTTCGAGGGCTGTGTTAGTGAGACGGCACCATGGGAAGGGGGGCAGGGGCAATCCAGTGCCTGCGTCCAATTGTCTGTGCTTTAAAGGCTCCCGCTTTGCTTGGGTCTCCGCGCACAGGGGAGCTGAGGCAGCAGTGCTATGAGAAACCTTTCAGGTGCTGACATCTGGGCCAGGAGGTAGCCACAGAAAAGCAGTCGGGCCAAATAATCTACCAATGAAGATTCTGGATGTACGTCCAGTCTCCATCCTATCCCTGAGTCATTACAGACAACCCAATGCTGAATGCAGATTAGCTGCAGAGGAAGAATGGTGACTGGTTGAATCACCTGTGATGTCAAAATGGCCTCACATAAAAGTTACCTCAGCTATAGGGCCTGTCTGTAGCCTATATAATGATAGCAACTAGAGACAACTACCACTGATGACTTAGCTCCATTTCTTCCAATATAGCCTATGTGCAAGATCATCATTAACTTTCCCTATAGAGAGAGTTTGAAGAGTATATGTGCTAGTCTGTTGTTAGGAGCATTTGGGACAAAGAAAAGTCTGACAGTTGCTACATTTCTTTAGGGGCCCAGTTTTTAATTAATTTTAACTCACACTTGATCCTCCTTAGCTGCGTGAGTGTCGCCAGCCCTAGACCCTCCCGGACATGGGGGCCTTGACTTTCCCCGGCCACAGGGACCTTGCCAGGGTAAGAACCTCCCCAGCCACGGGGGTCTTACCAACCCTAGGCCTTCCCCAGTCACAGGGGCCTTGCCAGCCTCAGACCTTCCCCAGACACGTGAGCCTTGCCAGCCCTAAACCCTCCTCAGCCACAGGAGCATCACCAGCCTTAAACCCGCCCCAGCCATGGGGGCCTCGCCCCCCCCGACCTTCCCCAGCCATGTGGGTCTCCCCAGCCCAAGACTCTCCCTCCAGCCGCACGAACCTTGCCAGCCCTAGCCCCTCCTCAGCTGCAAGGGCCTCGCCAGCCCTAGGGAGGTGATAGCTTAGGGTTTTTCTCAGCACTCACAGGGTATTTCAGCTGAGATGTGGCATGGGGAGAGCCTGGGTCCCAAGCCCTCATTGTCCAGTGTGTGCTGGCCTGGCCTGGCAGCTTCCATCACATTTTATGCTCTGCGGGAAGCAGGATCTCTCCAAGGAGTCACAGGAACTGGCCTTCCTCTCGGTCCCAGTCCCAGACCATTTCCAACAGAGGCTCTCTTCGGAGAGAAGTCCTAGGGAACTGCGGGCATGCGGTATTCAGACACAGCAGATCCTGTCAGGGATGGGAGGGCCAGATCCTCCGCTGGTGTAAATCGGACAGATCATTTGACATCAGTGGAGCTATGCTGATTTACGCCCGCTGAGGAGCATGCCAGGAAGGCTCAGTACAAGCCCCTTTAAGGCTGTTCTGCCCTATTGCATATCTGACAAGAACACCAGCCTTGCAAAACTGCTGCAATTGCTAGATAATTCCCTTGTTTTAGAACCTGCCTGTTCTAATTTACTGTTTTCCTAGGGTTAGTTGTGAGCCTTCAGTTTACTGATCTGTGTAGACTCCACAGGAACGACACAGCTGTGAATGATTTAACAGCATCATAAATTATTTGTGGGGTAACAACCATGGAAAAAGGTGCTTACCCAAAAAGATAAATAACAGTAGGGAAGCTGATACCAGGTTTAAGCTTCTGATTAAACTGTGGGATTTATTACTCCCAGGGCTTGCATTACTTACGCATACTGAACTTTACTGGAGGTTTATTTACAGCTAATGCTTCGGACCGGATTCATTCATGAGGGTTTTTTTCCATAAAAAGAAGCATATTCCATTTTTCTGCCAGCGGCAGCTGATCAGAAACAGCAAGGGAGCGTGGGCCCACTCAGACTACGGTGCTGTTCACTTACTAGTAAATGCTCCCTGATCAGAAACCACAATATTCTTTCAACATAAAAAAAAAAAAAGCTTGAAAAAGTGACTTCACTGTTAGCTGCTTTTTTGTGGTCCCAGTGCAGTGTAACCGGCAGCAACGGATGCGCTGCTGTCCCAGGAGTAACATGGGATGCTGCCCATACTTTGCCTGTTTCCTGGATGGACAGAGCACTTTCCTCTCCAGAACTTTTCATGGACACTAAGGGCATAGGTTCCAGTGCTTAGCACCCACACTGGGACCAGGT